GGAACAAGAGAAAATAGAAAAAAGGAAGGAAAAAAAGCTGTCTGAGGATTGGTCATGATCCCATTTTATGGAGGTGAAGTCCAGAAAATGATTATGAATTGTTTGAAGAAGTGCTTTGCTTTATCTAATGTGATTTTAATTCCTGTCATTTTTATTGAGCTGCTGGCATGGCCTTTTGACTTGGGAGATCCCCAAAGCCATGCCAGCAGCTCAGTAGCATATATTGTAGTGGCTAATATTCTGTATTATTTTTAAAGTGGGAAAGCAAAAGGTAGATGGCACATTTGTAGGGAAGGTAAATGAGGGAGGGAGACTTTCAGGTGCACAACCTTCAGATAACCTTTTGCTTATTTAAACAGACTGATGTATTTTGAAACTAGTTCAAGAGTATCCTCTGAAAAATTCTGTTTGGAATATAGTGCACAAAGAAAAAAAACATGTGATCTGTGCACCTCAATGTTATTTTCCTTTCTTTTCCTGCATAGTTTTTGGCCTTTCTCATGCCTAGCTGACGGAGTCTAAATTCTGCAACTAGCATATATGTGCTGATTTTTAATTAAAATGGACCTTTGGTACCCACTGGGGTTTGGTTCCGGGATAAGAAACTTCATTATAAAACATGAACATACACTTTCTTCCATAAAACATACCTTCAACATTCATTCTGCTTTCTCTCAGGTGCACACACGTTTTGGAAGTTTAACAACTGGGCACAAGAGAGAGAGGTGAGTGTTATTGACACCCAAACCACTACTACTACTACTACTAGTGCTCTTGGAGGACACAGGCCCCTGAAGGACTCTCTTGCCCCTTACGATCACCTGGGGGCCAGGAGCAGCTGGGGATGGTGCGGAACTGGGGAGAACGCCAGGGAGAATGCCGGCGGGTTTTAATATTATTGTTTAATTGTTTATTGTTTAATTGCTTAATTATTGTTATTTAATCTGTTTAGTTTGTTTTGTTTTTAGGGGTTGGGTGAGTGCGGGAAGGAGGGATGGGATTTTAACTGATTTTAGTTGTTCTTATGTTTTGATATGTTGTACACTGCCCCGATTGCTTGGCAGAGTGGCGGGATATAAATAAAAATTATTATTATTATTATTATTATTAATTTATTTATTTCGCACTCTCCTCAAGACAGGGAACAACATGTTAAAATACAATTTAAAAAGAAAACATAAAACCAACAGTTAAAATACAATACTATAAAACCATTAAAATACACTATTATAATACATTCTTTAAAATATACCAATTAATAATTATGATTTAAAATTAACTGAGTTGGCCTCTGGAAGAGATATGTCGTTAATGTTGTTTTAAATGATGTTGGCACTTTCAGCTGTCATATCTCTACTGGAAGGTCATTCCGCAGTCTGGGGGCAGCAGACAAAAAAATCCCCTGGGAAACCGTTGGCATCTAGTCCTGGCCAGTTGGAGTAAACATTTCCCAGAGGACCTGAATGTACAGGGCAAATTGTACAGGAGAAGGTG